AGTCTCAGAGGTGTGTGGTTCAAATCCACCAGATGCTCCCCTGGAGGAGGGACAATCTCCTCCTGTGCCAGCCAACTCCAATTTGACGGCACACAAGTTAAAAAAAGAAGAAAGAAAGAAAAAAAGGATGGTGAATGGAAGGATACAGTCCTGACACACATCTGTTCTGATGTTAGTGTGACTGATGCAGGTTTGGTATTCTTGGGTTTTAAACTGCTTTTATTGCCTCTGCATTTCAAAGCCCTGGTGGAATAGTGTGTAGAAACTTGCACTGCAGACTCAAAGGCCCTCCTCTCCGGTGGTTCAAAACTACCCATGGCTCTGTGGGTGAAAGGTGATCCATTTTCCATGTAATTTTCAGCCTCAGAAACACAGTGGAAGTTCACCTATGAGTTGTTCCAACTGAACGTTAATGAGTTTGAGTTTTTTTGCAATGGAAATGAACAAATAATTTTGAAAAAGTTGGTCCTGTTTAGTTTTAGCCATAGTTTAAAAATTAGAGTAAAAGCTCTAATAATGTAATACTTGAATATTTAATCCAGATATTTGTATAGTAATAGAAAATATTTTCATTTCTTCTTTGACCATGTATATTGTGGAGAAAGAAAATTTTCAAACTAAAAATATACACAATTTATGTTGCATATATGATCACAAACCCTTGGTTTATAATTTAATTCAGTAAAGGATCTTGTACTTTATAAATCTTAAACCAGTTTAGGAATGATCCTGTAGGAGGACTACTAGAATAGTCGCGATACTAACTCATTCATTCTCATCTTATGAAATGGTCTGCACCTTGACACTACCCTGTGAACCAAAGTTCTCAACACTTGTGTGACTTTAATCCTCTCTCCAGGTTCATAGGGTTTCTGGAGACAAGCTATTACAGAAGTGGATGCCACTCCTTCTTCTGTTACTGTATTCTGCTAGCACTTCACTATAAAATAAGAGACATCCTTCAAACCTATTCCATGCTTTACTACACTGTTTACAGCTTGTGATTGATTTGTTGAACAGATTCTTACCAAGAGTCGCTGTTCTGTTGTAGAGAGAGTTGCTCTAGTTAAAACTAACAGGGCTAACAACTAATAACAGTAGGTGATAGGCTGTTCTGAGGCCTGATGATAGTATCCTTCCTTCTTTACAGACAATGAGACTTTGAAGGTTAGAGACATTAATTACTGTCTTGTGTAATTAATTACGGGTTTAGCTGGGAATAAAATCTTCAAGGGACTGTGTGTTAAAAAATGATTAAAAAATGGTTCCAATGCAAGATTTTTTGATAAAATAATTTATGTTTAACAACAGTATTAAGTTTATGTAGTCAGAGGTTATTTTCTCTTTGTTGTTAGTGGTGTACAGAATTAGTTTTTAATAGTGAGTGAATCTCATATGGCTAACATTGTTACTGCTTTTCTCCTTTGAGAGTTGAATTTCAGATTTTAAAAATCAAGTATCTGGGGTTCCCCACACCCATTGCTGTATTATATGGTAGTTAAAACCAAAACATATACACACACACACATAAATACCTCCTATAAATGAACAGATGTGATTATGACAGGGACCTCACATCATCTGGGTCATTTGAATCCTGCTTTCACAGCTTGTCATTTGTGTGACATTCGGCTTTCTCTAGCAAATGGGCCTACTCTTTTGCTGCATAAGATTAAGATTGTTGGAGGATTAAAGAAATAACCGATGTTTAGTACATGGTAATGTGGTCAGAACCAGAGTCCCACAGTGGCCAATCTTACCGAGAAGTCATGTAGATCAATTCTTACAGTAGAGACAGTAAATCAATTCGAGATTCAAAAGATTTTTGTTGCTGCCACGGACAGGTGTTTTTCTTGCCTTGGATTTTTATGACGAGGGCGTGGTCTCCTTACACAATCATTTCCATTACTAATCTTGGATGATATCATTCTGTTTGGGGGAGTTGGCATTTTACTTAGCCATTTTCTTTTAAAAAAAAATTTAAAAAAAGAATTTCTTCTTTTCCTTAAAGTGTTGCTGATCATTACTAACATGAGATTGAGGATTAAATTTTGATAGCTCTATTAGCATCAGATCACTTACACATTTAATGACATTGTTTAAATAAGCTGTGGTTCCTAGACCTAACAGTTTACACTCAGTTCCTGATGAGGTTCAGATCCCCCAACAGTCATTAAGGAAAGGCCTGGCTGTCTGCTCCCGTGAAGGTTACCCCGAGAAATCCATGTGCAGCAGAAGGTCTAATGCTGTAGCCGTGGCATCCCCATGAATTAAAATCTACTTGTTGCTAACAAGTTTGAAATGTTTTTGTTTGTTTTGAAAGTATGAATAAAATAAGATTTTTTATGATGCGGTAAGTGCCAGCTAGTATTTCTCACCGTGAGACTGGCAAAGAAAGGCTGCTGAACAACAATAAAAAAATAAAACCGGCCGATCCCTCTGTGTTATTGACATTTTTCATATTTGGTGTGGCAAGGTCAGGGGAAAATTAGCCCTGAGGTTCTAATATGGATTTTTTTTAAATAAAGACTATGTGATAAAATTATTTTAAAATTTAAAATAAATGGAAAGTACAAATAAAATAGAAGAAAATATCTTTTTTTGGTTTTAAAAAAAATTTTTTTTAAATAATTTTTTTTTTAATTTTATTTTATTATTTTTGTGTGAGTGTACCGTCAAATCAGATCTGACTGGTACAGGAGGAGAATGCCCCTCCTTCCCTGGCAGAGCATCTGGTGGATTCGAACCGTGTTCCTTTGGGATTGCAGTGCAGCTTCTTGCCACTAGGCCACCAGAGCTCCCCAGGAAAATATCTTTTTTTGAAAAATTATTTATGTGTATGTGTACCATCAAATCAGATTTGATTGGTACAGGAGGAGATTGTTCCTCCTTCTCCAGCAGAGCATCTAGTGGATTTGAACCGCTCACCTCTGGGATTGTAGTGCAGCTTCTTGCCACTAGGCCACCAAAGCGTGCCTAGAAAAATACCTTTTTTAATTTTTTTTTCCTCCTCCTTCTTTTGTTTAAATTATGTCTTCAGCCTCCATTGCTTCCAAGACATTGCTATTGCTGAAATGTCAGTAGAGTAAGTCTTTTTGCTTTTGACCATGCACAGTGATGATGGTGGTGATTCCAAAACAAGATAACTTTCCTAACCCTCTCCAGGATGAACATGTTTGTTCTCCTAGCAGTCCGTGGTATATTCAACACTCTCTTCCAGCACCACAACTCAAAGGCCTCAACTCTCCTATCATCCTTAGTCATTATCCAGCTCTCTGATGCACAGCAAGTAATTGCGAAGACCATGGCCAGGATCAGGCACACCTTCGTCTCTAGACTGACATCGTTGTTCCTTAGTACTTTTGAGAGGTCTCTTGACAGCAGACTTTCCCAATGCAATTCATCTTTTAATTTCCTGGTTCTGGTACCAAGACTGCTGATTTTAGGTAATTAATTATTATAGCTTGTGAATATCTCCTTCCCTGGTATTATCCACTTTTTGGAGCTCTGGTGGCCTAGCTGCAGTCCCCGAGGCACTTGGTTCTAATCCACCAGCTGCTCCACAGGAGAAGCATGGACAGCCTCCTGCTGTGTGATTAAGTGCCTCTGAAAACCTGCCATAGGGTCAGCTGTCACATCCCATGCGATTAACCGCCTCTGAAACCTTCTGGAGGGTCAACTATGGGTCAGTTCCGACTTGATGGTACACAACAACAACATAGGGAGCTCTGGTGGCCTGTGTGGTAAGAAGCTACACTGCAGCCCTGGAGACACGGGGTTCAAATCCACCAGCTGCTCCAAGGAAGAAGGGTGGGCAGTCATTCTCCTCCCATGCGATTAACTGCCTCTTGGAGGGGCAGCTCTGGGTCTGTCCTGACTCAACAGTGCACAGCCACAATCTTGTTGGCTGCAAGTTCATTCAGGGGGTGGATTTTATTCCAAACAGGAAAAGCGACTAAGGGTGGCAGGCTCAGGAGTTCCCGGGTCTGGGCCAGTAAGCCTGGCCTTTTTCATGGTTTTTAGTTTGTTTTACCTTCTTACCTATTTTTTCTGGGGTTCTGCTGTGTTCTCCCTTAGAGTGATCGACAGTGTTAGTCAGACACCATCCACTTCTTCCAGTTTCAGAGTTATGTGGTTTGAGGGTCACATGATCTATTAGCAGTTGTCTCGTTTGTTTTCCTCTTTCCTTTCTTCCCTGACACAACACTTGGGTTGTTCCTGAATGGCTGTTCACAACATCCCTGTGTTGTGTAGGAAGAACACTGTCTCTGTGGACCATGTTACGCTGGTTGATCTTGTTCTCAAAGTCTATGATCCATGCCCATGAGTTGCAGCTTGCTTCTTCAGAGTGGTTGTGATGAAGAAGTTAACATGGTTTGCCACCTGTGGGCTCCGGTATTTTCATGGTTAGATGTATCACTAGACTAATGCCAGTGCTGGTCCTTTGTGGTGTGGCCTCCTCCCCCGCCTGTACTTGTTCTTGGCGCCTGTATACTCCCTTGTAGATTGATGGCCCTGCCAGTAATGCAGACTTGAGTCTGCAATCGTGTTTCCCTCTGTTGATTGTATTCCTTGTGCACCTTCGCCCTCCCTGTGGTGGGGGACACTGTGCTCCTCCTCATTGTATGCTGTGTTTCCTACGGATTCCAGCCTGTCTACGAGGTAACCTCTGAAACCGCAGTCTTTGCTGAATTGTGGAATACGTCATAAATAAACAAGAAAGCAAGAATCCATATTAAAAATGTACAATTTTTAAAATACAGTTTTGCCTCTTGCTTTGATCGTTATTATTAGTGGAGTCATTCATTCTGTATGTGTTCTAAAACTTGCTTCTCAGTTGTTGTTTTAAAATTAGATTCTGGAGTAAAGGGCTTAAGTGATTAATTTGCTTACCGTGTAACTTATAGAAATAATTGCCATAATTGTCTTTTTGTAAAATACAGTTTGTGATGGACATACCTTAGTGAACACTTACCCTTTTCCTGTTCCTTTCTCTCCAGTTATTGTAGCTTTAATAGACAGGATGGGAGATGCCAAAGATAAGGTTCGAGATGAAGCTGTGACTTTGATATTGAAGTTGATGGATCAAGTAGCACCACCTATGGTAGGCTCAACTTTAAAAATGCACATTTTACTAATTATTGTTGACTATCAATAATAAATGTGATTATAATCTGTCAGTAAAATCACAGGAGATGATAGTTAACTTTAAAATAATAAATTGTTGCTAATATGACAAAATTGAGATTATAGTAACTATCACTATTTAAGTTTGGGGTTTTTTGGGGCATTTTTATTTATTTATTTTTAATTTTTATTTATTTATTTATTTATTTTATGTGTGTACCATCACATTGGATCTGACTGGTACAGGAGGCGATTGTTCCTCCTTCAGCAGAGCATCTGGTGGATTTGAACCGCGCACCTCTGGGATTGCAGTGCAGTTTCCTGCCACTAGGCCACCAGAGCTCACCTTAAGTTTTTAGCTATTTAGTTTTCTTTTTTATATTTTCCAGTCTCTAGTTTTGGGTTTTAGTTGTTGATGTGTTGTTTTGTTTTTGTTTTTTTATAAAAAAAGCTTAAAGTTTTAAGCAGTTTTGACTATACAGGTTTAGTATGTTCTGGTTTTCCTTACCTGCAGTATGAAAATTATCTATTAAGAAAGCTTATTTGGACTAGCTCTTGTAGCCTAGTGGCAAGAAGCTGCACTGCAATCCCATAGGTGCTAGGTTTGAATCCACCAGATGCTCTGTTGGAGAAGGAGGGACAATCTCCTCCTGTACCAGTCAGATCTGATTTGATGGTACACACACACACACTAATAAAAGAAATAAAAAAATTTTAATAAAGAGAAAGCTTGTTTGAACCACTCTGAATGTTTTATTTTCATTTTTGCAACAAAGATGGGAAGAGCATCTTTATTTTAACAGGTGGTTACTTGTTATTTAGGGCATGTATTTCATGACAGTGACTGGTGTTTTGTGAGTGCAATAGGAATCATTTGTGCCCTGACAGGTATTCTGAAAGCAGAGAAAATATAAAGGTACGCTGACAGGTATATGGGATTTAAAGAGTAGCTCTTGGCTGCAACAGTGGGTGGCAGCTCAGGAGTCAAGTTTTGAGGGTGGTGCAGTGTTTCATCACGTTTATAGATGTGCTGTGGGTTGGAACCAACTCAGTGACAACAGCTTTTAAAGTGGGAACAAAGTAAGAGTAAACAGTATACTACATTATGTGATATTTAAAATGCAGCGGAAAACTGTTAGTATTTTATAAAATAGCCAGATAGTAGGGACTTGTCTTTCCAGATACTCTGCACCTCACAACTGAATTTTCATAGTTTGGTGACTATCCTTTGACACTATTGTTTTCATACATTAAATTGCTTTTTACTTTCTTTTATTGCCAAAAATATTATGAGAACTCTTCTTGAACATGTATCTTGGGCACAAAGATAAAGATTTCTGTACACTAAAGTTCCAGAGTTGTTGTCACTGTGGTTACTTACAGCTACAGTCTTTAAAATGAACTTTCAAGTTTCCTTCTAAAATGTTTGTCAGGAAGAAACACATTAGTAGAAAATTCATAGTCGTATAATAGATAGAAATTCATTTCCTAAACAGTGAAAGTGATATTTTCAAATGTGGAGAAGTGATGGAGTGTGGCAATGATCAATGTGTTTGGAACAATACAGTTAAATACCTTCTTCAACCAAACGCAGGCATTTGTTTTAGATTATTTTTATATTTTTGTAAATGCTTGTCTGGAAAGAAAATGATAGTAGGTACCCATGAAATGACCTGTTTAACTATTTTTCTGTGTTTGAACCCAATATTAGAAGGAGAATAGACTGAATTATAAATTGTTGGCCAAGCTTGTTCCGTGTGACAGTCTGTAGCAGTTGCTAGGGAACATTGGACCTTTTAAATGCTTGCTCGACTGCTGAGCTCATAATGGTAGCATTGTTGTTGAGGTCTCTAAAGCTTAGAAGAAATCCTGTGTCCTGGAATTTTTTTGGTATTGGACATAGTTTTTCTGAGGATTTTTTAGGTATTGGACCTAGTTTTTCTGAGAATAAATGAAAGTACATATAAATAAAAATGACACAAGATTAAGATATTTTTTAAATGGGTGAGGGTAACCGCAGTACAAATTTGGCTCAGCAAAACTTCTTGTACAGAGTAGAGAAATGAAGTATTCACTGAAAAAATTCACTTGCCAGTGAGGGTGGTAATAGTTTATTAATACAGGGGGAGCGAGATGACTTTTCATTATTTGTTTTTTCTTTTAAATAGTACATTTGGGAACAGTTGACTTCTGGTTTTAAGCACAAGAATTTTCGGTCACGAGAAGGCATCTGTCTGTGCCTCATTGAAACCTTAAACATGTAAGTTTAATAATTATGTTAAACAGCCTTCTCGTGGTTTTGTGTTTTGGTTTTTTTTCCTTTTTAAAGAAATAATATTGTCTATTTCAAGGCAGGCTATAGAAATAGCTGTGCAAATTTTAAATAGTAATTAATTGAGCTCTGACTAGTTTTTTTATGTCCTTGTGAATTTTTGGGGGGGGTTCTGTATGTGTTATCCTTCATGTTGTTAATTCTAGATTGTCATCCAAAGATACAGTTGGTTCCCCTCCTTTAATGTGTTAATATTAACCACTCCCAAATCAACAGTTGAGTAACTGATATGCAGATAACATAGGGCTCATTTCTGCTGGTGATTGGTAACTTTTTAAAAAAAAATATTTAACAGTAGTTGTTTATTAATTTATTTTTTCATGTTAATAACAAATTTTTTTTTCCATTGGTTTCCTTGCAAAGGTCGTATACATTGTATTTTGCACTGTTCTTCATTCACATTGTGTTTCATACAGTCATTTGCTTTTTTCTTGTAATTCTTTTTTTTTTTACACTGGTTTACCTACAACATTTGTATACATTGCCCCTCACATCCGATCTCCTCCCACCTCTCCAACCCACTCCCCTGGATCCATCACACCCTGTGACCCCGAGATTATCCCCTCCCCCATCCTCACCCCTCTGCTCCCCCATTCTCCCTCAGATCCTCATAAACATTTTATTAGTTACCTATTTCTACAATAATTGTCTTTTTATTCCCTCATTGGTGATTCAGACAGAGTAGCCGTGGTTTTTTGTTTCTGTCTTTCACTTGTCAGTTGGCCCTGAATTTTCTCTGCGGTTTGTGGTTGTAGTTGTGTGCCGCTGAGTCAGAAACAACCCAATAGCTGACCTTCCAGCACATTTTCAAAGGCAGTAAATCACATGGAAGGAGATTGCCCATCCTTCTCCCATGGTGGATTGGAGCAGTTGGTGGATTCGAACCACATGCCTTTGGCATTTTACCACCTGGCCAGCAGAGTGCCCTACGTGTTGTAGTGACTACCAGTATCATAGAGAGAGCAAGACTCTCCTCGATAGTTTGACAGAGAGCTCTGGTGGCACGTTGTGCAGTTAAGTGGTTCCTACAGCCTCAGAAACCCGATGGAGTCGGAGCTGGCTTGATTTAGGGAGTTTGAGCTTTGAGCTAACAAGACAAAGCTCTGACTACACAGATCTCATAAAGCTCAGGGCTGCTAATCTAAAGAAATAGCAAACTAAAGACTTCTGTTCTCATTATATTTTTCTAGGTTCTTTACAACATAATAGGAAATAAGTGGTAGCTCTCAGCTTCTCTGTTACTGTTTCTTCCAGTCTCTGTGCCTGCCTGTTTGTTTTGCTCTTCTAATTCTTTCTGCCCTTTAGAGTTTGTGCATACATTGTATCTGCATGCTTTTGTGGTTTTTTAAACATATTTAGCATGTATGTTTAGCTCATGACCATACCAAAATATTAATAGGTATAAATAAATATCCTTTAATAGACTGAACTCTCATTTCAGTAACATCTTATTTTACTGCAGTGAAAATATGTGTGGAAACTAAAAATCTAAAAAAATAAGTCATTGTTTCAATAGCAAACTCTGATTTTCTTCTTGAAGGTATGTTAGAAAGTTTAAATGTACCGTTATGTTTACAGATGCACATTTTGCTCTGTTGGCTCTTGTGTTGGCAGTTTTCAGTGTCAGTTATTCTTTATGTTCATGTATTTCACATTATTCAGAGTTCTCCTTTGCCTGTGCCTACATCTATGTTTTAATGATTTGGGTATGCTCTTTCAATCATACTATTTGTCTTATTGATACAGATAAGAACAAAGTGTAACAATATTTTGGTTTACTGTTTGATTAAAATCAGTATTTCTTTCTCAAATTATTTTTAGTTTTGGAGCTCAGCCATTAGTTCTCAGCAAGTTGGTACCACATTTGTGCATCCTACTGGGAGATTCCAACAGTCAGGTAAAAATTGATTTACGTGTAAGAACTTGATGTTTTCAGTCTCCCTCTTGTTCCAGTACTCTTAACCTAACTTAAAAAAAAAAAGAGGGTGGAAAGGGGATGTGAAATTAAAATTTTTTTTTAGATCCACCAAAGTTAGTTTTAAAAACTGCTTTCACCTTGTCATAAATTGCTTAAGTTTGTCAAATATTTGTCTAAGTGCTTATGGTGGATGGGATTTAATGACTAGTTACTGAGTTCTAGACAGAGATGGACTAAGATACAGCTTGGATTCCTTCCTGTAGCCTCCTGTGTGCTAATCGGAAGGGGCCGGCTGTCCTTTGCCCATCTTTTTTTTTTTTTTTTTAAATTTAGGTTGTTTATTTTTCATTTCAGTGAACATCTACAGAGATTTTGGGATTCCATTCATTCATTGTTGCACCCTTCTCCCCACACAA